GTTGACACGTATGTGTGAAGATAATTAATTCATCGCTTGTCTGAATGGCACAAAGGCAAAGTCAAAACCGTCCATCTTAATTTCATGAGTGAAGTTGGGGTTATCAAAAGTTGCTTCTTTAGTGAAACGACCTCCATTGTAAGCATCATTAAGACCACACATTCTTTGAGTTAGTTTGCTGTAAGAATGCCTATATGTTCAATCCACCACCCAGATAACCTTCGCAGTATGGACGAAGAACTATCATCCTCTAATTTTTTATTGGACCTTATTTGAACATCCAAAGGCAAAACAGTTTTTGTAGAATATTTTGGGTGTGCAACGGACGCAATATGTCATGTACAAACATATGTTGTTCTCGTGTCGATAATGATTGTAGAAACAGATAAATTATCATACTGTTTTTGAAAATTGCAACGATAGGGATAGTGATTGATACACTTTAGTATCAATTCTGAATATTTTTTAATTGTTAATGCCAGTGTCCTCGACTTGACATACTTGACACTGATAGGTTTGAGCTCTCTCTCTCTGATAAATATTATCAATTGATTAGATAACCATGATTCCATTGAACTTTTATAAGTTATCATCAGAGATTTCCGAAAAAAAAATTTAAAATGTAAAACATTTGTGATTTTTGAAAGTCTCCCCTTCTGACATTTGATCACAATTTCGAAATTTGGCACCACTGTAGCACTCTACTACAAGCTTTAAACAAATGAAATTAGATTTATCTTCAAAATCAGACCAAAATCAGCCGTGAGGCATGTCGGTGTATTATTTCTTTTAATGTACCCTTCTTGTCATCGTACAACATGTAATTTACTTGTCAATTGCTAACTTGCAAGAAACAGGAAATGATAAGATAGTAATCACATTGGCAATCATACCAAATCACCTAATTTGATATGCATGTTGCATATACAAAATTAAACCCGGAACTACATCAAGAAGTGTCAGTCATAGATATTAAAAAATTGCTGAGCTGTGTTGTCTAATATTAAAAAAGAAAGCATTTTACATGTCTTGTGTGATTTTTGAGTTGCCTCATTGATGTACATGTGTGTCTTTCATTTCTGTTTCATATGTAGTCGTTAGCAAATGAAATTTAACAATGTTTATCCGTTTGATCACGATGAACCTAAACTTTGCATCGAATATAGGTCATCAAGTTAGAAATTGTCACTGAGAAAAGACAATACTATATGAGATAAATGCAGTGATAACATTACAATATTTGTCAGAAAATGGGCTTGATTCCAGAAAGTTTACTTTCATTCTGTATGTCACTCGGGTATAAAAGGACTACTAAAAGAGACGAAGTCGAAGAGAAACCGAGAACAAAATGGCAAAAGTATAAAAACGACGAGAAGACTAGAAACATTTTACACGACATAGAAAACTAGAGATCAATCAGCACGAACCGAATCAAAAACCGGAGATGAGCTCAGGTTCTCCGAAAGGGTAAGCCAATCAATATTGGTAAAAAGTATGATGATGGCAGTATTCATAATTGTTCATTTCTATAACACATGTTACGGTCGTTCTACAGCACATGAAGACTTTAATTGTAAAAACATTGATGTATATCCAAACTTTATTTTAATATTACATAAAAAGGTATATGTACATAAACATGTTGTAGTAAGACAATTCTTGTATATACAATACATAGATATTATCAAGTATATTTCAAAGTAAATAACCACACTATTGTAAAATGACACGTAAAACAGAATTGTAACATCACAGAAAGGAAAATGTTTAATTAAGTTCGACATGTGGTTTATAACTTTTTCAAAAAATCTAAGTACGAAAGTTTAAGTAGCGTATCAGTTCTGTTATAACTTTCTTTGTGAATTATATGTTATGACTTTGTTTTATCCTACGACTGTCAAACATGAAGAACGTCATTCCGTCTTTAATACGATTCAGAACATCATTTTATTCTTTTTGTATATTAAGTAGTTTGCTTAAATAAACAGAAGAGCAATGTGTTGCTACAAAAACAAATTATTCAAAAAACTGATTTTATCCATAGAAATGTATGGCATACTTACAGTTGGACTGCGCTTCAGATTTTGACACCAGGAAACTATTTTGTCATTTAGTTATCTAATCGACTGTTTGACAATTTTAAGATAAATCATATACAATTACTTAACTACCAAAATATCATCTGTATTTAGTTATGACAAAACAATTACATAAATCAATATTTCCAAGAATCATGTTAATATGAATAACTTCCTTAGTCGGGAGAAAAAGATAGTTACGAAGGAATACGTTAAGTACTTTTTGTATATAAGGGTCAATCAATATAAGTGATTATTGAGACATTAAAATATTAGCATATAATCCAATCTCTTAATGGACAGTAGAAATCGATTACTTATAAATACAATATTTTGCATAAAATCTAGTCCGTAATTGCAAATCTCATTTAGTATAATTTCCCCAATTGCACAACAAAGTTAAATATGAGGAAAATATATCTTCATGAGGAAATGCCTGTTCTCAAGCAGGAATATGACAGTTGTTTTCCATTCGTTTGTTGAGATTTAGCTTTTGATTTTGCCATTTGATCAAGAACTTTCCGTTTTGCATTTTTCTTGGAGTTCGGTATCTTTGTTATTTTACTTTTTTTCTGCGTAAGGAAAAGGTTCGTAATAGAGTATAAACAAAGTATTAACAAAGAACGTCGAATATCTGTTGCTCAACATTATTTCTATTTTATTTTGAATTGATTAGCGATTTGTTGGTTGACAGAAACATTTTTGTCCGGGTTTATTGCAATTAACAGTCGGTATTTCAGTGGGTACTTCTTCTGACTGGCTTGTGTTTTGAGTATTGATATGACACATAATTCATACAAAATCGTCCCAAAGACAAACAGACAATGAGAGTTCTTTCATTTTTCTTCAGATATATTGAAAATGCCCTCTCACTTCAATAATCCATATTTCAACGAGCGCTTGTATCTCATATATCCCAGTGATTTTTACTGCCGAAACTAGAAAGTTTGCCCCATATCTTGACTTATTATTTGATATTGACATAGATAGATAACTCCAAACTAGAATCTATTCCAAATATGATGATTTCAGCTTTCTTACTGTCAACCTCTCTTTTCCTAGCAGTAACAGATTCTCTGCACAATCGTATGATTTTTTATATTTCAGATGAAATGTAACGCTAATATATATATATACAGGTTTATATTATAGTGACTGGATAAACATATGTGTACTCCTGATGAAACAAACTCAACAAGCAAAAATGTTATGAGGTAGAACGACTAACACCGACACTTCATACCCTCTACGGCCAGCATCGCAAATTGGTTTATCGAAACGATCCTCCATTTTTTAACGACATGCGTTTGTAGTCTTAGGTCTTTAGATTTCAGAGAAAGTGTTGGAAACTTACCGATTTGTTTTATTCTCGGACTGTGACATTTTGACTGAGTGGCGATTCGTTTAGCGATTGGTGCATACATAGCATAAGAAGCGTACCCTATCGACTCACCCGGTCTTGCACCTTTTGTAGTTCCGAGGTTCCTTCCGTTTTTGTGTTTAACCTTGATATGCCTTCTTAATCGATTAATGAGATACAACTGTTGCCTACCCTAACACTTTATTCAGCCATACTTAACGGAAAACTTTTATATTTTGTTACGCTTCCTTATTGTTTACATCTCTCCTGCGATCATATTAGAGGTGGTATCGAACGAATTAAACATGATGTAAGGCTCAAATGTAGTCAGATCTTATGATCGTTACAAATTAAAACTATGATGAATACGTTAACCTTTGTGATTGATTGTGAAATCTGCAGCATCATCACTAATAGCTTTCTCCGACTGTCTTTCAAACCGACTCTCGTAAAATTGAATAATGTTATTTTTCTGTTTATCTAATGCGTTGCTTCAGACAATTGAAAAAAAAGAGAAACTGCGTCATTTTAGACTTTTTGATTTTAGTGCCATCATATTACTGTATCTTTATCTTATGTCTGCATCTGCGTTCAACATACATGTAATGCACACGGAAAATACACGGCGAACTGTAGTAGGTAGCACTTTCAACTAACCGAAAGCCTGAGAATGTCTATGTATAGTATAACAGAACCCAACCCTTGAAACAGCCAAGGAATTTCACGTTTATATATTACTTACATTTTTAATTCCAAAATGTCATGACACTATTTTACAACTGCTCTAATCAGTTTTCAACATTATACTAGCATAACGTAACTATAACACAGAGGGAATGTGATCGTCGTGAATACTTTGTGGCTATACATACTGCTGTGCCATCACAGTGAATCAAATTATCATTGCACATGATAAATTTAACAGTTCATTTTTGGTTTTTATTTGAAGATCTCTGAAACAGGTTAAGTCGATTTTGGTTTGACATTTCAACTTTTTTTTAGAACGCTGATATTATTACTGCTAACATTATTCACAAACAATGTTCTTCCGATAAAAGGGGAAAATTCAAGCAATGTAAAGCCAGGTCGAAATATTTCTCAAGAAAATCTTTTATCGATAAAGGCTTATGGGCTGCTGTCCAAATGTTTAAATTCGCCGCTGTCTACTACAAAATGTACTGTATTCCATTTATTCGTACAGGTTATTCAGTGCCGGTTCGTAGGAACGCGTATCTAATATAATAGATGGGCCTTGCAATCTTTTTTGAGATAAATGCTCCACATTGTCGCCGAAATAATCATCCCAATACACTGTCTGTATTTTAATTCCAGTGACCGTTCATCATATTTCATATATAATTGATAACATGCAGGTCGTAACTTGAACCATTGGGGAGTCATATATTTTTGATGGCAGATCTGTGGTTGCTAAATGGTCTCCTATCGTTTCTTTGATTTTATATTCTTCGTACATTTTAAAATGACGAAAGAGCAAATTTGACAAAAACACAGACAAAATGAAAAAAAAACTGGTATGTACAAATACAGAAACAGAAAAGGCATTTTATTTTGTGTTTATTGTAATCCATATGCTTCGCATTTCATTACAGTAGATACCAAGACTTTCTGTAGAAGCAAATCATTGCATGGGGATACTGTTACAAGTTGTTAGATTTGTATTGTTCAAAATAAGATATTCATCTATTTCAGAAACGTATAAAAATTAAAATGTCTAATTCAACTTTTATTAGAGAAGGTATTATGAGTGACCATACAAGAGACAAAGGCATCGAATATAATGAAGAACTACCTTTAATAGATGTTCTTCAATTTAACAATTGCTGTTAGTTTAAACAGTATTTATTATTGAAACATCAGTATAAAAGTACAATTTTACATAGCAGTCAAATATGAGATTCGAAAACAAGTCTGGAAAATATTTTATCAATCCGTCTCCCGAAAAAAAATTATATAACAAACAATATGACGTACCAAAAGTATTTACAGCTAAAGGTAACATATAATAAATGTCAATAAATACAAAAAAAACTAAAACAAAAATAAAATCAATCAACAAAACAGTTAACTTTTATTTTCCTGATGGAGTCACTGAATCCACCATCATGACCGATAAATGTAGATTACGCGCAGTCCACTCGATTTGGCATCAATATATAAAGTAATAAGAACATTTACAATATGTACAAGGTCAAATTTCAAAACGTTTTGTTTTATTTACATATTCAGAAACCTTATGAAATATTAGCTTATTGTCCTTTTCTGACATTTAATTGTCACCGTATACTATAATCTTAGGGTTAATACAAGAGACTGTCTCGATACATGTAGTATCCCTTCGAGTTTCATTATATTTTGGACTTTTGAGGAAGTAATGAAAGTTTTTTTCGTCGTGCCCACAGGAAGACAATGCGCTGTGGGTCAGATTTGTTTTTTGTAAAGATGGTCCTTTTGAACACAATTCTGGAGTCGTAGTCTTACAAAACATATGTGTTCTCTTCTAGAACCTATGTGAAAAATCAAAGGGATTTTAATAATATTTTGAAAGAGATAGTCTTAAAACCAGGTTTTGATTGATTGATACGAATTTCGTCTGGAATATCATTCCAAAAGTTTATAACTGCTGGTAGAAATGACTTCGGATAATAACTTGTTCTGTATAATATATTTTGTAAATTGGAAGACCCCCTAGTCATATAGGCATGTAGATATGGCCTCTGATTTGGGACTAATGCAGACAATTTAACAATTAATGTTTATTACGCCGCGACTGGAGTTTCCTAACCTGATTTGTCGTACAGCAACTGTCTTGGTGTTATGTTGGTACCACCTGTGACAAATTTTGCTGCTTCTGGTTGCATGTTTTCTAAAGATGTTTTAGAATAGTCAGGGATATTTTTCCAGAAAATATAACAATAATCTAAGACTAGATGCATAAACGATACTCAAATGGTTTCTTTTTTCTTCCTTTTTAATTTGAACTTCAGGATTCGGAATAAGATTAATAGTGAAAGAGCATTATTAATAATCATTTTCCCATAACTATTCCAGTTTCAGTCTTCATTTATAATAGCCCCTAAATGATTGTGCGACTATACATCTCTGATATTATTATTTATATAAATTGATGGTTGATGAGGTTATGGTGCTCTTTTGATATAGTCATTATTTCTGTTTTGTTTTGGTTGAAATTAACAAGCCTTTGATTGAACCAAATATGTATCTCCTCAATATCTTTATTTAACTTTTCTGCTGCTCCATATTCGTTATGAACCACTATATAAATTGATGTGCCGTCATCAAAAAGTGAAATGTCACTTTCTATATCATTATCTATGTCATTTATGTATGTATGTACACCGGTATACTACTGTTGCCGTTATCTATGCCAATTAAGTTATGTCTATATACTCTAGAAAGTTTTTAAACAAATCAATTACAAATGGTCAAAAACTACACCGTCTTAAACAGTGAGCAGTAAGGCGAGGTTTTTTTTTGCTCCGTGTTGAAGACCTCACTTTGAGATGAAGAACAGCAATAAAGACGCTGTTCCTTTGCTTTTTGTGTGTTTTTTGCTGTGCTTGTACTGATTTTGTGTCATGGATGGATACCCTATATCATTTGTTTTTCTATTACATGTAAGGTGTCGTTCAATTATATAAACTTTTTGACGATTTTGACTGTTTGCTACATTTTGCTTTTGTCACGAGCGTACCTGTTCCGGATTATCATGAGAGTTATTCTTTTTACATGCATATGGATTATAATTAGCCTAGCACGGGGCGCTTTGTATATGACAAGATGATTTGAAGGAAATTTGACATCGGAAATTATTTCCAACTAAGGATTCCAACCAAAATGTTTAATAAATCTCTACTTTAAACTGAAAAACCGTTAGCAGAGGTAACGAATTCACCGCTTCACAATGTGTATGGCTATGACAAAGTCCATATTTTGCACCCTTATTATCCTGTTAGAAAAATATAATAGATGTACAATTGTATTACGTAAAAGAAAGGCGAAACATACCAAAGTGACATTCAACCTCATAAGTCTAGAACAAACCAACAACGTCATGGGGGAAAACACCAAGGATAACAAAGACGCCAACAAAAAAGTGTTGTAGCTGACAAAGATGCAAAAAAAAAGGTGTTGTAGCTGACGAAGACGCCAACAAAAACTTTTTGATGTTGATAGTAATTTTATTGACAAAGACGCTGATAGAAAGTTTTTGTAGTTCTTAGTACATAACTTATATAGTATACACTTTCTTGATAAAGTACAAATCAAGTAAAATATAAAAACAAAGGTACACAAAATGGAAATAACACTGTAAAACAAACTCTAGCGTCCGATTTGAGGACACAAGATTAGGAGATGGTTCACATTGTTTCGTGTAAAATAAAGAAAACGGTGGAACTCAAAACTGGCATTTCATTAAATATTATTGCATATTTTTTATGACTTCATATTTATCAAGTTATAGAACATTGAAATATCTGTATAAAGCAAATGTAGATGGCGCCTGTCAGTATCAGAAAATATAAGATTTTATTAACACAGCAATATTAGATTTTTATATCAACATTTTTAAGACTATTTTTTTTATCCAGTTGTAAACCCAGTGTTTCTTATCTTCGGAGAAGTATCCTTTCAATAAAATGGACTTCATATGGCTCCTCTTGCATTCTTTGTGACATGTGTTCTCTACCACATGCACTTGACAAAATCTGTCAACAAAATATCAACCAATGTACACTTCATGAAATGCACCACTATATTTTTAGCAAATATGTTGCCCAATGTACGTGTTTAAACTGAAAAGGTTCTAAGGAGTAAACAAAACTCTTTATTGATAGTGACACTCGATTAAAAAAATTAAAAAGGACAAATAAAATACGTGAAGAGGTTATCTATTCCTGTGATATTTAAGATTTAAGGCAGACAAACCAAATTATATACAGATTACTCACGAAAATTCATCTAGAGTTCAATACAGGCTCATTAAACGTTGAACTACGTGAATTTAAATGTTGTCATTTTGTGCTGTTTTACGTTTCAGTTGTTTTGAACCCAACTTCTAGTCATGGTCTTATTCACACATTTATTAAAATGTTTATCATGCTTTGATCGCAAACAGTGTAACAAAGTTATTGTCATACTAAGAACTTGTTTTTCATTGTTTTATATTTTGATATCTTTGTTCTGTTCTAGATATTGTACTATGATATTTTAGTCTTGGAAGCATGATTTATTTATTAGTGTTTTTGTGTCTGAAGTCAGTTTCGTAGGATTATATTTTTTTTTGTCTGCTTTGTGTCGATCGCATTAATAGCATTTTTCAACGGCTTTTTCGGTTTGTTCAGGTCGTTTGATTTCTCTTACTTCTCATCATGTCGGGCCGTACGATCACGTATAGCTGCTCACATCTTTTCGGCAATTATACTGCATATAAAATACTAAATTATTTTTATACTGTCTGTTGTTGGTTATCACTTAGTAATTCATAAGCGCTTTCTAACATTTTATGTGATTACAAGAAGAATTTGTGTGTTTGTGTGCATTCATCAATATCGTATGGTTCTAATTTACATTGTGTAAATGTATGGAAACGGAAACTAGTAACCCAAAACATTAAATTCTGATTACCTTTTAAATGTCGAATAGCCATCTTCTAGGATAATACTGAAGCACCTTTCGAACATATGCATCAAGGTCGATCTGCAAAAAGAAAAGGGAACAAAATATTAAACTTAGCTCTACACCTTCAAAGTTGAGTGCTTACTATTATACTAAAATTAATGATTCCTAAAATTGTTTACAAATATATAAATCACATACCAACTGTTATTAGTAAACCAAATCAAAGACTTTCCATGCATCAAAAAGGGACTTAACAATTAAAGATGCTGATAAGGAGATGTTAGATCTGGTAAATAGTTGTCTAAATATATACAATATCTCCTTATTTTTGAATATAAGTGCAAAATAAAAATTAAGTAAGAGTTAACATTTAAAGTCTACTGTCCTCGATGTCATATGCCAAATATCTTATAGACATGTAGCTAAACATGTAGCTTAACAAATGCGACATTTCAGAAACAAAAGGTGGAAGAAGAAAAAAAAACAATCAGAACAAAATCAAAAGGTTTTTTCAAGGAAATATGGAAAGCGAAATGTGAAAAGACCGAAAAAATAATATAGAGTAAAAAAGCACGAACTAATTTTGGCCTGTTTAATTTTATCAGTCAAAATTGTATTTCACTAGTTGGTATATGTGTATTTACAGATATACCATGTTTTGTACGAGAATATTTCAGATGTATTCCCTATTTGCGCATGACAGTTAACTTTGACTTTAAGGTAGGATTCTACTTTTCGGTTTACAATGTACCCGCGGTTACAATTGTACTACAGCGAACGTATCAGTGACACAATCGTCCACACAATGACTTGATTTCAAAAACTATTTAGTACATAATATTCCAGTTCGAATGCTGTATAAGTGTCTTGATGGGGTATTCATAGTACAGAACAAAAAACGGCAAAAAGGGCAGAATAAAAGGCCAAAAATATAAAGAATAGAGAAAATACAGGTAAAAAAAATAACGAAAAGACAATAATAGGCAAAATAGATAAAGCAATGAAAAAATGGTCAACAAATCAAAAAATGAAAAATGAAGGATCCTTCATCCAGACTTTCCTATAATATGCCTCGGTACTAAACTGATATGCATTTTCTCTTAAACATGGCAAAATTATGACAACTAATGATCTTTTTTGATAATATTGTGGTTGATTTTTTTGTGGTTCATATTGCTCAAATTTTGGTTTTCCATTTTCTGCTTTTGTTTACTTGATTATCTTTCCGTTGTCTTTCGGTTTTTATTTTTCAATGGCGATGTCGACTTTTGAGTTGTCAATGTCTCCAGGTATCTTTTGCCTTTATTCAAAGTCCTTGCAATTGAATTGAGAAGTAAGTTCACGAGCACTGTGTATATGTTAACACTCGTTGAATAACTGCATTAGCTTTCGCGGACAATGCAAAAATTAAATAACAAAAATACCAAATTCCAAGGAAAATTCAAAACAGAAAGTCTGATATCAATGCCAAAATCAAAAGCTCAAACAAATCAAACGAATGGGAAACAACTGTCATATTAAAGACTTGGTACAGACATTTTCTTATGTAGAAAATGGTGGATTAAACCTGGTTTTATGGCTAGCTAAACCTCTCACTTGTATGAAAGTCGCATAGAATTCCATTGTATTGACAACAATGTGTGAACAAAACAAACAGACATAATAAAATGTTTTCTGCTCTTTGGTCGGGTTGTTGTCTCCTTGACACATTCCCCATTTCCATTCTCAGTTGTATAATAGGTAAAAATGTCGAAAATTGGGGTATTTCACCCTCTATTGATTGTTTAATTGTTACTTGCTAAACGTCTAGTGGCAAATATTTCGAGGTTTTTCAAAATGAGCAATGTACAAATATTACATGTTCTGCTAGGTAAGGCAACCGAAATGGAATGGCTTGATATTCAAAATGCCACTGGGAAATAAGATTCTGTTGGATAGAGGAAGATTTATTTCATTTAAACAGGACACAATTGTGCACCTCTGAAAATTGTTGTAACATTTCTTTAATATAGGTTAAAGAAATATGGTGGTCTTCGATTGCCCAGCAGTGAAGCCCTAGCTTGTTAAAGTGGGGCTTCCGTTTGTCTGCACATTACAGAACCGTCCTATTGTATTGTGTTCTGAATTTTTTGCTCGTCTTAAATATGCTTGCATTATGTACTACTGACCTGTAAGCCAGCAACAATCAATTAATTAATAGTATATCTGGAAAAACATTCTTCAACGTAAATTGACCGTAGCACTGGTCCTACTCGGAATATCGGACTAAACGTCACCATTTCGGCCTGATATTATATTTGAGAAAAATGTTCACCAGTGTCACAAAAACATACATAATTATGTTCAAGTTGCATATAATTGATATATGAATATCACCCCAACCCTGATTTGCATTAGACTGCCACGTTAATCCTACTTTCAGCATGCTTGTTTACGGTCCGATGGAATGCATTATTATTATTCCGAGCCGACCAGTCCTCATTTTTACTCAAATGCCGCATGTCTAGTTGATAAGCAGTAAATATCAGTTTTAAAATCTCATCAAGAAATCAAATTCACCATTCGGACACTCGAAACGAACATTTTGTTTTAGGACCATTGAAGTTGTTTCGCATATATGAGTCCAATACACCGCTGTCAATTTGTGCTGGTTTTGCTGAACTCAATTTTTAATGGCTTTTGCAGAAAGGCATATTACAATGAGTTATCTTTTTGCATTACATACAAGTGTGTTGATAAGGATTCAACAATTTCATGGTTAGTCAATAATCGCGTATTTTGTTTTATGTGACTGCACGATATCTCCATGTCTACGTTTTTACATTGTTATTCAGTAATTGTAAAATAAAGACAAAATATATAGGACACTCACTCAGCGTTTCTGGTATTCCAAACGAAATGAGAGGCGGTTCCATTTTATTCAACAAAGTGTAACATTTATCTCGCCCAATAGCAGTCCATTCGATGTAAAACAAGATAAAAAGAAAATGCATTTACAATTTGTAATGTTTTGATATGGAATATGGAACCAAATGATGCAAGTCAAGTGTATTCTGTTAGTAAGGTAAACATATGAAATATGTTTGGCACAAACATTAACAAATACTAAGATTTGAGTATGTAGACTAATGGTGAGCACAGAAAATAATTTTATCACAAATACTCACATAATTATTGACATGTAAACAAAGTAATACAAAATCATTATCATTTTGAAATAAGTATTAGCCAACTAATTTTATTTAGTACAAAATAATATATATATATCTTAATAAAAGTTTTGAACAAAACTATTACATTAAGCATAAGCATAAGCATACCAATATTATATTGATACATTATATATTACAGATTCATTAGAATTACACGTATAACATAATTAAGTTCAGTAGATCAGTGACATTATATTATCTGTGTGTCTTAGGTGTGTTTGTTTTGAATTATGGAAATACATTTAAAGGCTTTTAGTTAACTGTAAAACCGTTTGTATTGTGAGCGCCTCGTAAATATATACTTGATACGTATGTACTTATAATAAAAATCAGATTGAAATAAAAATAGTTCAAATGTTATAACTCACTGCAATAATAATCTTGATTTCCACGTGATTATTTAAAATTCTTAGAAGTTACATTGTCTTAACGAAAAGAATAAATCACAGCTCTGGTTGAAGTAAAACTTACCAGTACAACAAGCGCTGTCACATAGTTTCTTATCCAATGATGTTCCATCGCAATATTTCCTGTAGAAATGCGATTCTGAAACATATATTTGTAATAATAAAGAATGTCAATGAAATTTAATAATTTTGATACCATTACAAATCACAAAAGGTACGTTGGTTACATCAAATGTAACAAGCCACCAAGCAACACAAAACTGCAGAGCCCTTATGGTCTCATACAGAACAAGAGTTGTCCTTTTAAGTCAACCGCTTGAGATGTTAAGTCTAGAGCTGTAAATGTTTAGTCAAGCGCTGGATGAACAGCTCTAGACTTTACATATCCAGGTCTTAACTTAAAAACCACAAGTATTTATGTGACCAACAAGGCCCTGTACACAACAAAAAGGAAATGGCATTAATTCAACATAAAACAAGACAAAGTGATTAAGGACAACAGTATAAATATAACCTATACCAAGAAGATAATAACACACACATACGCAAGGTGCATGGTATCTCATTTGTTATTAAGTGTGTTTCTATGTATGCTGGCGTTTGTGTTTGTTGCAGTTCAGTGTTTCTGTTGTTCCATTGTTTTCCACTTATAGTTGATGTGTTTCCCTCGGTTTTAGTTTGTAACGCGGATTTGTTTTCGCTTAATCGATTTATGACTATTGAACACCGGTATACTACTGTTGCCTTTATATGCAAGCAAAAAGATGTGAGGGATAATCCATCGATTTGTTAGCTTTAAACATAGTATCATTATAAAAAGGTGCTAAAGCTTTTTCTTGTAATGGATATCTCATTTGTTATCAAAAATAAGTAAGGTGCATATCAAACAGAAAAAAAGGTTTAAAAGCAATTGAAATCCATATTTAAAAAGGAGGAATATACATGTACCAGGGGATCAGAATAACAAAAAGCACAATTCGAAAAGAGAAACCCAAGACCGTGACAAAAACAAATGAAAATTCAAACAACCCGTGTTTTCCTAAAGGATTAACACTTTCTCACCCACTTGTGACAATTACAATTTGCAAGGTTTCATTTAACACAATGTTTTGTACAAATAATATTTCTAAACGCAGTCGACTTAACAAAACAGCGATAAAATTTCAGTTTTCAGCATTAATAAAGATATACGTCCAAAGGTTAAGTTGTATCCAAATGTCCCCCGAGACGAATACAAATTATGTTGATACAAAATTGACTATTACTGAGTAAGAAATAGTAATATTATTACGGCCAACAACTACCTTTAATTGTAAACAACAGAGGACAAAAAAATCAATAATAAATTCATCAAGATTTATTTTACCATTTTACCAGAAATATTATACAAATTGAAATGTCAACTTAACTGTTAAAATATCTGAATACCCGATCATATTCTTTTCCGTATCCGGAATTGTTCTCCCAACTGTTGCGGAATCCAAACGGAATATTATGTCCAATAAGTTCACAAACTAGTATGATGCTGTAGAATTTATCAATACACAACTACAGAGATCCTTTGAGAATACTTGTATATTTCTGAAAAGTCTAATGTCTAGAACACTGTAGAAGGAAAACTTCTAAAACACTGTAGAAGTTTGAATTACGCATCGTAAATTATGATAATTTTGGAATTATTATGCAAGTCAAATAGAAAGTAATCATTCCAGCAGTATACATGATTGTTCCAGTGATTGCTAAAAATTATTTTGCAAACGATTATAAATAGGTCACAACCCATTTATGTAAGCATCTTATAAGGCAACACAAAACAAATTAAGCCGAAATAAATTATCATAATAATTACAATCTCATAACACCCCCCCCCCCCCCCCCTCCCTTAATAAAAGTTTGAGTGTAACGAGAACTTTTCATTACAATATATACAAAAATATGATACAAAAATATGATACATATATATATACAGTGTAATCAATAAGATCTGCTAATACATTATCTTTACCCTTAATGTGTTTTATAATAACATAATAGTCCTGTAACAATAAACAATAAACTCCATTTAGTCAACCTCTGGTTCTTGTTTCTCATTTTTTGTATGAAGGTGAGAAGATTATGATCAGTATAAACAAGAATAGGATGCATAGTGGGATTTAAATGTACATCAAAATGTTGAAGTGCAGAAAAAAGTGTCAAACACTCTTTTTCAATAGTTGAATAATTTTTCTGATAATCTTCTAATTTCTTGAAAAAATATGAAATGAGTTTCTCAACATTATCATCTGTCTCTTGATATAAAACAACTCCAACTCCTACATCATTTACGTCAACGGCAAGTTTGAATTGTTTTTCAAGGTCTGGAGTGATCAAAACAAGAGTGTTCATAAAAAGTGATTTGCTATTTTCAAAAGCGTTTTGACAATTATCACTTCAGATGAATTTAGAATCTTTCCGTAAAAGATGAGTCAATGGTTGACCAACATTATCAAATTTTAACAGAATTTTTCTGTAAAATCCAGTCTTGCCTAAATATCTCAGACGTTGTTTCTTATTTGTAGGAGGAGGAAATTTAGTAATTGTATCCACTTTAGCCACACTTGACCTTTTGTATGCCCAAAAAAATCAACAGTAGCCTGACAAAAATTCACCTAGACCAAGATTAACAGTCAAATTTGATTATGATCATCTACCATAAGTATCATATATATGTGTTAAATGCTCTTCCCAGCTATCACTACATAAAATAAAATCATCAATATAAGCATAACAACATGTACAGTCTAAATCTTTTATATTATTATTAATCATTCTTTGAAATGTAGCTGGAGCACTTTTCATACCATACGCCATTACAGTATATTGAAATAAACCGTCTGATTTGACAAAAGCTGATTTTTCACGAGCTCTCAGTGTCAAGGGCACCTGCCAGTAACCTTTCAATAAATCAAATTTGTTCACAAATTTTGCTTGCCCAATATTATCAATGCAGTCGTCTATCCTTGGAATCGGATAGGAATCAGATTTTGAAACAGAATTAACTTTTCTGAAATCAGTTATGAAACGAAAGGTTTATTTGGTTTGGGCACAAGGAGATAAGGAGAGCTCCAATCACTGTTACTCGGCTCAATAATATCATTTTCAAGCATATATTTAATTTCTTGTCTCACAAGTTCAAGTTTTAGTGGATTGAGCCGATAAGGGTGTTGCTTAGTTGGAGAAGCATCACCTACATCGACATCATGACATACGGCAGTGGTTTTGTTTGACACATCTGGAAAAAGATTTGTAAAAGAAAATGCCAAAGTTCTCAATTTTTCTCTGCGATCAAAAGTCAGAGGTGCAAGTTTTGAGTCTAAATTTGACAAAATTTCTGAATTTTGATTTATCTAACTGTTTGTTTCATAGTCTAAGAATCAAAAGGTGGTTCAATTATATCTGGTATGCTATGATCGTTCTCTTATTTAACCATGGGCCAAGTGGCAACTGGTTTGCTTTCACCTTCATTAGCAGGTTCAAAATATGGTTTTAACATATTAATGTGACACACTTTAATTTGTTTTCGCCGACCTGGAATTTTTACAATATAATTCAAATCATTGATTTTAGTCTCAATGGCATAAGAAACATAGTAGTGCCCCTGTGAAAGATGGCCAGGGACTGGCAAAACAAGTACTTTATCAACTGGCTTAAAAAATCATTGTCATACTATATTTTCATCTTATTCTGAACATTTTTTTTTATTTTTTCTGAGCAATTTGACAAGCAGTTTACAACTTTTCTTTGAATCTAGATACATAGTCTAGAAGATTCAAGTCAGTGTGTTCAGGAAATCATTTTTCCTTTTCCAATTTCAAAGGTCCCCTTACAGTATGCCCAAATACCAACTCAAAGAGGCTAAAGCCAAGGGATTCTTGAACAGCATATCGGACCTCAAAAAGTAGAAGGTGAACACCATCATCTCAGTCCCTGTCAAATTGAAGACAAAAAATTCTAATCATGTTCTTCAATGTTTGATGAAAACGCTCTAAGGCACCTTGAGATTTTGGATGATAAGCACTTGACTTATATACTGAGCAATCCCTAACTGGTAAACGACCCGCTGAAATAAACCTGACATGAAATTTAAACCCTGATCGGACTGTATAGTCTTAGGAAGTCCTACTAACGTAAACAATTTGATGAGAGCTTTGACAATAGCTGGTATCTTAATATTCCTTAAAGTAATAGCCTCAAGAAAGCGAGTGGATGTACACATGATCGTCAATAAATACGCAATTTCTAGTCTTGGTCTTTTGTAAAGGTCCGACGCAATCAATTAATACTCGGCTGAAAGGTTCTTCAAAGGCTGGAATTGGCAGAAGTGGTGCTGGCGGTATTTTCTGGTTTGGCTTACCAACAATATTGCATATATGGCATGATTTGCAGTATTGTGTGGCATGATTTGCAGTATTGTGTGACATCATCCTTAAGTCTGGGCCAGTATAAATGCTGAAAGATCTTAAGACAAGTCTTCCTTATACCTAAATGTCCGGCCAAGGGGTTGTCATGGTCAAGACCAATAAAGTCTTGCCTATAGACTTTAGGCACCACCACTTGGTATACCACTCTCCATTCCTCCTCTGGGATAGATTTCATGGGGTTTCCATTTCCTCATTAAAATGCCGTCTTGAAGGTAGTAACATTCGCCCACTTTGTCTGCTTCCTAAACTTCTGAGCTACAAAAACCTCAATGTCGGCAAGGAAAGTGTCAGAAAGGTCCATATAATCATCCTGGTTATCTAGTAAATCTTCATTTTGTTGTTTTCTTGTCATCGCCCTAGTAACAACTCAAGCTGGATACAGTTCAGCTTCATCTTTAGGAGATTCAACATCCTCCATCGATTCCCTGGTAACAATTGTTTCAGCAACCACTTTGTTCCTAGCTAAATCATTCCCTAGCAATAATGAAACACCCTCAACAGGGAGGTTATGACGAACACCCACAACAACTGGTCCAGGAGTTAAATCTGACCTCAAATAAATACGATGGAATGAAATATTAATACAACTTAACTCCACACCCTGTAACAAAACGGAGGCACCAACAGTAGTCTCCTCGGACAAAGGCAACACACCCTCTAACAACAAAGTGTGAGAAGCTCCAGTGTCCCGTAAAATCTTAATGGGCTGAGGAGTAGTATTGTCAACAGTAGAAACAAACCCATCAGACATAAAGGTTTATAATCCTCTATGTAATCACAAAAACTGGACTCGCAGGACATTCTAACTTATTGCTACCAAGGGTTGTCGTACAAGCACTTGACTTTTGTTCAACATCTTTTTCATTCTTTTTACGGAGTCTAAATCAATTAGCAATCAGATGACAATTGTTCTTACAATATGCACAAGTCAGTGACTTCCTCTCGAAAGGATCAAATTTTTTGACTAGACATGGTATAACTACACTGAGTCTTATTCTGTGTAACAGGCTTATTATCAGTACTTTGATTTTTGTTTTTTTCCACTCGAAGTACTAAAATTGTTACCTTTGAAACCTCTTTTATGTGAAAGGGTATTATTATCGGAAATAACAGCTGCAGCTTGCAATGTCTCAACAGTTTTGTCATCTAAAAGTGTTTTTAAGTCTATTTGAACACACTGCTTGAACTTTTCTTAAAACATTAATTTTCTTATTTTATCAAAATTGTTATTTATTTTCTTTGACGTAGGCCATTTATCAAATAGATCTTCTTTTTCCCTAGCAAATTCAACATAGGTTTGTAATTCAAACTTTTTATAAGACCTAAATTTCTGTCTTTATGCTTCTCGCACTAGCTCACAAGCTGTCAAAACTTCCTGTTTTTTTCTGAAGAAAGATCTGAGTAAATTTCAGCGGCCTTGCCCTCAAAAACACTTTGCAGCATATTAGTCCAATAAGGCTTTTGTCATTTCAAATTTTGAGCAATTTTCTCAAACTGTGGAAAATATTGTTCAACTGTGTTTTTTTTCAAAAAATCTGGGAACCAAACGTAATGTTTTTTGCTGCCTCAAAATGTTCTGATTTTGACTCAGTTTTAGTGTTGCTTTTTACTTTGACAATTTCTTTTTTTACTTTCTCCATCTCTAACATTTTCCTCATTTCAAGTTCTGCCTGTTTTAATTTAAATTCATCTTCTTTATATTTTCTTTTCTCCATCTCTAACCTATCTTTCGTCTTTTTACAATTGTTATAATTCAACTTCGTTTCCCAATTGTTTTATTCTAAATTCATCTTCCTTTTCTAATTGTTTTAATTTAAATTCATGTTTTATTGAAGCTGTATTAATTTGATAGCATCAACATTTTCTGCCTTAAGTTCAAGAGCCTCTTCAACAAAAATTTTTGCGTCAACTTATTTGTCTTTTTCCATTTTTTTTTATAATTTGTTTTCTCATAGATACTCTAAAATCTATTTATAGATGTTTAGCAAACAACCCGTATTCCTCTGTCTTTAATTTATCCAACCCCTCCGGGTCTGGAGTTTTTAAAAATTTTCTTGCATCAAATGCAATCTTGTTAAATTTTGATGGCTAATTCTAGTTCAATAAAATACTCTGAAATTTTTAATCTTATATTTACGTCCTTCGGACGAGCCCCCAATTTTCTGTTACGGCCATAAATTACCTTCAATTGTAGCCAACAAAAGACAAAAATCAATAATAAATTCAACAAGATTTATTATACAAATTAATAATAAATATTATACAAATTGAAATGTCATCTTGTTGAAATAGCTGATCCTAGTCTTTTCTTTATCCGGAATTCTTCTCTTAACTGTTGCGGAATCCAAACGGAATATTATGTCCAATAAGTTCAAAAATTAGTATGATGTTGTAGAATTTATCAATAAACAACTCCAGTGATTCTTTGAGAATACTTGCATATTTCTGATAAGTCTAATTTCTGTGTCTGTATGTATAGTTGTCATGGAAACGTCTAGAACACTTAAGAAGGGAACCTTCTAGAACATTGTAGAAGTTTAAATTATGCAACATAGATTATGATAGTTCTGGAATTACTATGCAAGTCAAATAGAAAGTTCTAACTTTGATTTCTAAACATTATTTTGTAAACAACTATAAATAGGTTACAACCTAATTATGTAAACATCTTATAAGGCCACACAAAACAAATTGGACCAAAATAAATATTTATAATAATTACAATCACATAACAATATTTACATTTTTTAAATATTTGTACATTTACTACTATTTCCGAATAATTATTAAGTAATATTTGTTGTAAAATCACACAAATTTAAAAAAAAAGGGCTAAGGTTATTTTCACTTACCATAACTGTTATCATATGAGCTAAAGCAATACACTCCTACATCTTCATGATGACCGCAGTCATGAACCTTCCAATAATTATGTGGGCATATTGATATGCTGCTCTCCGTCCCACTACAATGTACGTTGTCCAACCAAATTGTACCATTACCATCTTTTACAAAATTTCCCAAGGAAAACCCTATCCTGTTTAATAATACAAAATATGATAATTTGTCTACTAAGTTGAAATAATTTATAGAACAAATATAATATGTGTCTGATAATCAAACATTTAATGATTTTGCATAAAACGGAAATGTACATTGTGTGTGCGTATTTAATGTGAATGGCATACATCGTCTGTGTAAAGAGGATTTCTACATTTCACTGCATTTATTTTGTTTATCTATAATTTACTTATTAATACAGGCAAGTGTAATACATTTAAAAGTATGACAAATTTCAACTGCTAACAATTTTGGAAATTTGAGTTCACTATCGTTTTTCCATGGTTTCCGTAGTTTTTTGTTGTTAGAGTTTTCTGATCTGCTATTGTCTTGTCACCGTATTTCTTCTTTTGAATTTCTAAATTGTTGTGAATTTTTATTGCCCCATTCTCTAATTGACATATTCCTTCTATTTGTTACCGATTGATCGTTTTATTGTGAATTGTTTGCGGCAATTATCTAATGCATATTCGTATTACGAAAACACATTACCAATTAATACAATAAGTGACAAGACAATCAGACCGAGATGAAAAGCGAGAACACGTTCGGATTGCCACTTGAAAAGAGTATATGTTGGGAGGAACAGACAGATTTCCTTTCAACCGACCATATACTGACCCCTAAGGGAGTTGTTGTGGTGGTGAATTATCACAGATAGCACTGCACTCTCTCTCTCTACACGAGGCATTCCGACCGGACGTTGGTGCGAATTTATATAGCTGGCATTGCCAAACGTACGCCTCTCTTCAGAAAAGGTTTTACTGTTGGAATGGTAGAATTCTTATGATATATCCCAGACAACCCTTAGGGTGAAACAAATAATAATAAACATCAACCCTACAATTTGCTGTTCATTGTAATTCGGATTCAACTGTTTTATGTGTATCTTGTTTGGAATTTCCTCAACAATTACTTGACAAAAGAATGATTTATACTTTAGATATCTCAAAGAAATGATAATTAACAGTTAACAAATGATCAGAGGGCTCATTATTATTAAGATAAAAACATAGATAGTTTTCAGTTTTTAAATAACAATCATTTCTTGTTTGGTAAATTTTGTATTAATAATCACCATTAAGGTAGCACTACAGTCTAACAATGATTTTTTGAAGGTATTTTTTTTATCACATAATTTTGAAGTAAGTATTATTCTGCACAGTTTGTAAAAATCCCAAAGTCATTATCATATCACAACAGGGAGTAAATTGATAATGAACGTATGTAAATAAAAGCACATGTAATTAATCTAAATATATAGGCATTTGGGAGGGCTAATATGTCAATCATCTGTTGATACCAGTGTCCAGCTGTTAATACCTGACCACAAGATAAATATCTCATTGCATTGCAACAAAACTAATTTATAAAACATGGAAGTTTAGAACAGAGAAAAGGAAAAAGATATGAATAGGAAAAAAATCAAAGGGAAAAAATCTACCAAAATGAAAAAAAACTATGGAAAAGAGTGTGAAAGTATCTTTGAAAGCCTCTGACTGCCTGTATAAATTTCTCGTCTTTGGTCTTCTACATTTAAAAATAATTTTAGGCATTTTAATTAATTTTAAGTTTATGTGAAATTTTTTAATTCCATGAAACTCATAAATCATGTTGGACAGTCTATCTTCAAGAAGGGGATGGTCTTGATCTTTTTATGGACATGTATTTTAATTTTAATATTTTAGCTAATTTCCGTCATCATGGTCATATTATATTTCTTTTTAAAATTCAAATGAAAATTATTCTTTATAGTGAGAATAATGATGTTAAATATCAATTATGATGCAGCTGGCCAATCCTGTTATTCTCTTATCTTAGACTGTCTGGACAGAGGCGGAGCTTTGTCTTTATTTAATTACTACATCACAGATGTTGGTCAAATCTGTGACGTCAAACTCCCGCCAAATGCCAAGTTAGTGTTACAATGTATACAGTGCACACAAAATGCAAAGTGTACAGCATTAGAGCATCAAAGACACAATGTGTGTGGTTCTATTGATAAAGTAATGGTGTCAGAACACTCCTGGGGTGTTCCCAGTGGAATTTTTGTATTTATGTGGCATTTATAGGGGTTCTTAAGAGGAAATTCAGTTTTAAGGTCATTTCTCAGAACAATTTTTCATGAGAATTGTAAGGAAAAAATGAAAATAGAAACTTTATGGGTACCCCCTTTGGCTTGACTTTGATATATGTGATTGAAGGGAGTATTTTCTACAATACCGTGTCCCAGTTTTTGGATAATTTGTTTCTAAATGAATTTATAGGTCTCCAAAGATGAAAGGTGAAATGAGGTTTGGCATCCAGCAGTAAAAATTATATATCTTATTACTGGAAGCATATATCAAAAATCTGAGACACGGTTTTGTAGATTGTGAATGGTTGATTAAAGGGATGAAAACAAATTTTTACTACCATTTGACCTGAATGTGCCATTTTCATCCAAGTTGGAAGACCACTTTTTTGGCAATTAATGAGCTATATTTTGAGATTAATCATACCAAAAATAAATTTATCTATAGATTAAGAAAAAGTTATATTTCAGCTTTAAAATGAGTTAAAGATTTTTAAAATCCATTGAGTAGTTTTGGAGAAATTAATCTTTAAAGACTGTTGGTTGGAGTCAGAAAATTCTGACTGTAGTGCTACCTTAAACGAAGAATCTCATAACATGCATAATTAGACAAAAGTAAAAAAAAAAAAGAAAAATTGCAAACTCCAAAGAAAATTCATAATGGAAAGTCTCTGATCAAATGGCAAAATCAAAAGATCAAACACACCAAACAAATGGAAAACAGCTCTCATATTCCTGACTTGGTACATGGATTTCCTTATGTAGAAAATGGTGGATTAAACCTGGTTTTATACCTAGCTAAACCTCGTAATTGTGTGTTAGTGGCATAACATTCCATTATATTGACAACAATGTGTGAGAAAAACAAACAGACATAATATTCGTTTTTAACCGAGCCCGATTTGGTGGTAATACATCTTACAAAGTCTATCCAATCATTTAAGAAGAATTCCGCTCAAAACGGTGCTAGAGGCCGTTTTTAAACTCGCAGTGAGGTGAGAGTTTTTATTCTTTATTGTTGCTCCTTGTTGAAGACTTCATTGTGACTTTAAGATGATGAACAGTAATAAAAGCGCTGTTCCTTTGCTTTTGTTGTCAATATAATGGAGTTCTATGCAACTGTCATACAAGTGAGAGTTTTAGCTAGCTATGACACCAGGTCTAATACACCTTTTTCTTGCCAGTACCTAGAACGGAATATGGCAGTTGTTTTTCACTTTTTCTGTTGATTGATAGCGCTTGATTTTGCCAATTTTTTTTCCCTTTTTGAATTTGCCTTAGAGTTTTTTTTTATTATTATATTTTTTTGACATTCCGTTTAATATGATTGAACATTTTTAATGAATGTATATTTACCATGTTTATAGAACATTGATTTACATAAGGAAATATCTGTACCAAGTCAGGAAAATGACATTTGTTTTCCATTCATTTGATGTGTTTGAGCTTTTGATTTTGCCATTTGATAAGAGACTTTCCGTTTTAAATTTTCCTTACAGTTCGGTATTTTTTTTTTATTTTAATTTTTAAAGCCTTTTCCCACCATTATTGTGAAAGAGAAGAAACATGTCCTTAATTAATAAAAGGTGAATAAAAATCTTTAGCAAACAATTTACGGCATTTTTTGTATTCTCATGCTTAAAAACAAAACCAAATGAGTTGCTGCTTTAACATGTGTTGCTGTATTAACAACTCATTCCAGTCACGTCTACAATGTCTACAAAATTAACATTAAGTTTATATTTTAGATTGATTGCGTCATGAGACAAAAATTCACCATTGTCATCTAAAATAACATTGATGAACCTTATGCCTTCCATGTACCAAGATCTGTCAACTTTGATAAAAGGGTTGAACCAAATAAATTTTTTATTCTCATGAAATGCTTTTAACGGGTTAAAAGTTCCCTTGATACGTTTTCAAAGGAGAGACGAAATATATCAAATGGACATTCAAACTCATAAGTCGAAAATAACTGTCAACGCCATGTCAAAAAAAGAAAAAAAGACCAACAGACAAACACTATTACACAAAACACAAAATAGAACACTAAAGGCTTAGCAGTACGAACTCCACCAAAACCCATGGGGATCTCAGGTGCTTCAAAACGGTATGCAGGTCATGCTCCACATGTGGCATCCGTCGAGTTGCTTACAAAAAAAAGACCAAACAGATAATACTTCTGTATACAAAATTGGTGTTTTTAAATTTAAAAACCCATATTCACATCGGCTCATTAATACATTCTATAAAAAGAATAAAGAGAAGAATGCTTTTGAAACATTCTCTATTTGCAGTCATGCTCTGACAGAAATTTTGTCTCTCACATAATTCGAAGGCATTTTAGCGATATTTTTTAACATTGCCATATAAGCGAGAGGTTTGGCAAATCAGCATATGTGTTGAAACTGGAGAATTGTTGTTTTTGGACAAATTTCTTTAAACACTTGAATTTGCAGCTGGCCGACTCCGAGTATGAAAAGGTAATTGGGAACGTTTTGTTAAACAACTTGCAAATGCAATGTCACATTCCGCTCGGTTATACATAGCTCCCTCAAGATATTGTAGATATAACCCTTTGATATAAATTTCATAAATTGCCTGGATCCTTATATAGGAATTTATGGTGAATATACACAGTCGTTTCCATATTTGCCCTGACAAATCATCCGTCGACCCATATCAGGAACCGGATAGTGTGTAGGGCTGATATTTGATGTCTTAAATTAAATATATGGGTCGATATTAATCTTTATCATATATTTAGTAGTTAATACAGTAGTTTTGAATATTTGATAAATAGCCTGCTGATTAATCCGTATCGCCCAACTTTGATGCGCACCCTTTTATATCTCACCCCTTTATCACACCCCTACCCTTAATCACACCACTTTATCACACCCCTTCCCTTTATTACACCCCTACTAAAATTTCTCATTTATGACAGTAGTGATTCCGACTAAATTTACACGAAGTCAATGTTTTAATTTATGCAAGCTTCTGTAGAAAATTTTTTCCTCAATGGGTCCTAAATGAAACGGTCATTATGGCGTGACGTCATTTATTGAATGACGTCATTGTTTTGCATGTGACGTCGCAGACGTCGAGATTTCATATTTTCTGGCACACGATATGCAACTATTAAAAAAGACTCAATGGAATACCACACAAAACATAAAAAAATACAATAAACAAAATATTTCTATGAACAACAGGACGCAAATTGTAAGGTAACCCAGGTGCTTCAGATGAATAATTAATCAGTTCTTTTAAAGCTTTTAAAACAAGACAAAAGTAAATCTGAAGGTATCCCAGGTGCTAGGGATCAGAAAGCAGTTCATATATACTCTCCTGTTTAAATATATGATAAAGCGTATAAAACATGGCAAAATCCGTATCACATGCCGTATTACCCTCGACCAATATCATCCATCGGGCCTAAAGGCCATCGGGCTGATATTGGTATCTCGGGATGATACGACATATGATACGGATTTTGCAAATTATTATTCTCTATGTATTTTTACAACAGATGGTATTCCACCGTGTAGAACGCCACATGCGGGGTGTTGGCTATGTTTGACATTGGGTGGCGGTTTTGAAGCGGAGAAAAAACGACCAAGGTAAATAAAAGTATCAAAATTTCTTTATTGAGTATGTTTAGCACCAAATATTGTATTGCACGGAAGGAACCGAACCATAATCTATTTCCAGCAAGCAGAAGCAGACGTTTCCAGTGCTCCGTTTTCTCAAACACCTCTCCCCAGCTTTCCGTGTTGACGATTTTGAGACTTCATATGGGGCAATATGCGTAATAGATTTTACAGAGGCGGTAATGGTAACGTTTTCCTCTGTAGCACAGTCCATATTGAAAACTTAGATGTGCATGATCGCTCTTTTTGAAGCTGAGACATTTTCACATATTTGGTTAAATTTTCGGGGTGCGAAGTGTGATTCATTTTTCCGTAAATTAGCACACCCCGAAAATCCTTTCGTGATGCGGCTCCTGGTGGTAAAAAATCCTTTTTTTCACACGATAAGTTCTTCGAAAATTTAATACTTTGCATACATTTAATAACTGCACAGTTTTTACACATTTATTCTATGGTCCTCTACTTTTAAAATCAACACAAATGGTTAAGCTCAGTCACTTGTTAAAAATAGAAACATGTCTAATATCACTACATAGAGATTTTTTGTTTACGCACAACTTTTGTCGCATTAGGGATATTGAACCATATGCAAGTTTCAGGATAAAAAACTACTTTTGGCGATTTTTTTTCGTATAATTTATATAGAAATGAATACCTATCACAGATGTCAACCAAATACCAGCTTCTTTGTCAAATTTACTGGTTGTAAAGTTAATTCTTCAACGAAATGTAATGTGTCGCTCGGGGTGTCATATTTTTATCAAAAAGGATAGATTTGCCTATGATTCGGTCTTTATTTGATAGTTTGTAATCCAAACACACCTACTCTGTTATGATGAGTCATTACAAACTTAAGGTTTTTCATTTGGCCCATATTTTACTTTATTAAGTAATGTAAATGTTTAATGTAAGAAATAGAGACAAAGCCTCCAAGTATTTTTTTTTTTTGTACCTTAACATGATTTGTGTTCCTTTTCAGTTACTGCCATGGTCAGGAAGAAGTCACGGTTGTGGCTTAATGCACCAAAACATGGAGCAAAAACACAGAGCATACCTTCATATAAGATAACCCGAAACCACAACCCCTAAACTTCATTAAATTTCTTTACCAGTTTCCTCTATAAAGCACACATGCATGCCGCAAAAAGGACTTACTCCGAAACTATAAAAAATGACTGTGACAAGTTTTCTAAAACCTTTTTGTAGTTTCCCAATACCACATTTCAGATGTTATCCTCTAAGACATAGATCTGATTGTCTTCGGAAATGAAAAATATAAATATTGTCTAATGGAAAAACAATCTGTTTTACCATCAGTCGCCATTTGGATGAATGAAAGAAAATCAGTAGCCAGGTTATGTACTTCTACATTTTTAAATCTTTTAAAATTGATGTGTCATCATCTTGGGGTATTCTTGAAGATTTATTATTATTTGTAACTTTAGATGGCGGCGAGTATTTCTGTGGAGGGAGTAAGCGTATTCGTTTCGGAGTTAGTCCTTTTTGAGGCGTGCACGTGTGCTTTGTAGAGGAAATTGGTGAAGGAATTTGATGAAGTTTAGGTGTTGGTGGTTTCGGACAATCTTATACGGAGGTCTGCTCTGTGATTTTGCTCCATGTATTGGTGTATCAAGCTACAGCTGTGACTTCTTCCTGACCATGGTAGTAACTGAAAAGGAAAACAAATCATGTTCAGGAACAAAACAAAATACTTTGAGGCATTTTTCCCTATTTCTAACATTAAAAATGCACATTACTTTAAAAAGTAAAATATGGGCCAAATGAAATACATTAAGTTTGTAATGACTCATCAAGGAATCGATGGGTCACTGTGAAAACTGTCCAAATAAGAAAAAATAAAGGGTGGCAGGTAAGTGGAACTTACATAAAAAACTTAAAAAATGAACAAACTGAGGCCCGATTTATATGGATCCAAGGCCGTCAGTCGGCACCAGAAGTAACAAAGCGGCGCATCCATTTTGGACGGGCAAATATCCACTTTTTGATATGGGACGAGCTCTGACGTCCCACGGCCCCAGCTTGTCTGGCAAAACAGCCGTTGAACGTCAGAGTAATCTCGAACTAATAAAGACCGAATCATAGGCAAACCTATCCCTTTTTTTAATAAATGCCTCGTCCCCTTGAGACGATAAATTTGAAACCCCGCGCGACACATTATATATCGATGAAAAATTCACTTTCAAACCAATAAATTTTGACAAAGAAGCTGGCATTTGGTTAAAATCTGTGATAGGTATTCATTTCTATATAAATCATAAGGGAAAAAATCGCCAAAAGTAGTTTTTTATCCTAGATGAAACTTGCATATGAAGTCTCAAAATCGTCAACACGGAAAACTGTGTAAAACGGAGCACTGGAAACGTCTGCTTCTGCTTGTTGGAAATAGATTATGGTTCTGTTCCTTCCGTGCAATACATTATTTGGTGCTAACCGTTCTCAAAAAATATATTTTGATACTTTTTCTTTACTTGATTGCCTTTTCTCCGCTTCAAAACCGCCATCCCGTGTCAAACATAGCATGTGGCGTTCTACACGGTGTATTCATTACAACAAAATGAAATTCCTAGGTTGTGTTAAATTGTCATTGGTAACAGAGACAGCCTAATCGAAAAATGTAAAGGCTGAATGGAAGTCGTTGGCAAAAAAGGCAAAGTGAAGCAAAAACCTATTATTGTTCATAGTGGTTAGTGTTAATGAATAAAATTGTTTTTCTGAATAGTATAACAATATAGGTTATATTGGCATAGGTGGTCTATTTTTATTAAACATACAATTATTGATTTGAAGCAAGTGTATTATGCTTATAATAAGTAACTGTATTTATTTAACCTGTAGCCAAGTTGTCGACAAACTACCATAGCAGCAGCACAGTCGAAATGATCATCACACACAGTACCCCAAGTGCCATTGTGATAAATTTCCAATCTTCCTTCATCTGAATTAGATCCATCAACTAAACGTATACTACCTGTAAAACACCGGTACACAAATACAATCCTTAAAAAAAAAAAAAAAAAAAAACTATACTACAAAAACTCACACTGATACACATGTAGAGGAACGATAGGGGCTTAGCTGTTTACAACTGATTCATTCCCAAGAAGATACAAAGGTTCTTCGTCTGAAAGGTCAGACTTCACATAAAGGGCGCCTGTTAGGCTTTGTATAATGTATTTGAAAATGTATAAATCTGCATGCAACAATTGTTATAATGTCCGTAGGTCGTCTAGATCTGTTGCATGTAAACGTTTTTACACTCTTCGACATGCCTTCATGTTCAACCAGTTGTCAAAATTTCACGCCATCTTCCTAGTTAACCTACTTTATGAGTCTATATAAAAATAAGGAGGCGTGGTATGATTGCCAATGAGACAACTATCCATCAACTTTCAAACGTATTGAATATAAGCAAGTATAGGCAACCGTACGGCCTTCAACAATGAGAAACACCCGTACCGTATAGTCGGCTATAAAAGGCCCCGACATGAAAAATATGAAGCAATTCAATTGAGAAAACTAATGGCCTTATCCATAACAAAACAATTTACGAAAAACAAAAATAACCGACTTGATCCAACGACAACCGCTGAACTACAGGCTCCTGACTTGTGACAGGTACATATAGAATGTGGCGGGGTTAAACATATCTACTCTATACTTATTTTTAATTTGTTCTTGCCCTGATATGTATGGCTTATATGTCTCAGATCGATACGCAAACAATGGTGTATATCGATATTAAAGGAATTGAAAGAACACTAGATAGATATACAATCTTATGAATAGTTGTCTCATTGGTCAATGCTGGTTGCCATATCGCATGTCCTCATTTTTATATCAATATTATTATCTTGATTTACTTTCATTCTTCACAATTAAGAAACACCAAATCCTACAATATCATTGGTCGAGAGCACTTTGCTATATTCTAAATGATATATCTCAGGTAAAATATATGTGTTTGTCAATATAATTACTGTGATAATGACAAGAAAAATTAAAAGATAGAATAAAAACATAAAAATAAAAATAGTTGAACATATGGCTTAGTAATATTTCATGACCTCAGTTGTTATATGTAGCTTATACTCCCATGACTGTTTGTTTTGCTGTTATACCTTATAAACAATTCTCTAAATTTAAGTTATTTCTTACATAGATATAGGAAGATGTGGTATGAGTGCCAATGAGACAACTCTCCATCCAAGTTACAATTTATAAAAGTAAACCATTATAGGTCAAGGTACGGCCTTCAACACGGAGCATTGGCTCACACCGAACAACAAGCTATAAGGGGCCCAAAAACAATTACTAGTGTAAAACCATTCAAACGGAAAAACCAACGGTCTAATCTATATAAAAACGAGAAACGAGAAACACGTATGAACCACATAAACAGACGACAACTATTGTAATCAGATTCCTGACTTAGGACAGGTGCAAACATTTGCAGCGGGATTAAACGTTTTAATGGTACCAAACCTTCTCCCTTTTCTGAAACAATAGTATAACATCACAACATAGAAAAACACACTTTAAAATATCAATTGGAAGGCTTAACTCAATCAAAAAACGTAAATAAACACACAATGCAATGAACAAATAAATTTGACCTGTGACACCTGAATGCAAATTCACAGTTAATAAAAAATTACAAGGGATAAATAATTAAAGTCAAAAGTAAATAAACAGGTTTAAACAAAGTTAAAGTATGATATCACTGTGAAATGTCAAATAATTTTTAGAAAATCATCACTTTTGAAGAAACCTGCGTCATATTATACAGAGGTAAATGAAAATAATTTTGTTGTTAAGTATACTTCTTCTTCTGTGTGTATAAAATCTTCCGTTTAGGAATACCAAGAAATTTCTTTAATATCAATAAAACTAATCTAACACTTGGTACATATGGGGTGAATATCAACAATAAAACTATACAATTAGTGCTAGATAAAACTTCCTGTACTGGTCCAAGAACAGCATCTAAGGAAAAATGAAATCATGTTGATCTTCATAGTACGAAGAAGTGAAAATTTGTAGTGATACCAAATAATCAAAGCTGGTATAAAGACAAGATCTAGGTTAACATTAAATAACAAAAAAGCATTACAAATAGTATCAACAGGTCAAATTAAAAAGAAAGTACGATTTGAGAGTACTCGCAGTTACTGACAGCTAGTTAAAAGCCAAAACAATTAATAATAAAAAAATCATGCATCAGAGACTAAAATCAACTAAAATACATTCCAGGGATTTAGTATTTTAACGTCATGAACAGTCAAAGAATACATGACTTGTGCAATGCCAAAAATAAATGTATCGACAGGTAGTAGGATAGTTAAGAGTGACTTCTTTATAGATAAAAATAAACGTGTGTGTGTCTCTATATATCCCGTTTGAAAAGAAAATACAAATTTAGTTATGTTTTAATTTGCTAATGACAAAATCGATATTAGTGCCAATGTAAACTATATTCAGAGATCTAATAACAACATTGGTACGATAACCCTTACTAATAAGTTTGTTTAAAGGTTCGATTATTTTACACGGATTACATGTATATTTTTGGCAAATGAAGAATAAATAAATCTCATCTTCTAATATATTGCAAACTTGCAGAGTCTCCAATTTCTATGGATCTTATATTTTCTGCCTTTTTCTATTAAAAATGTGTTTCTCAAATTATTTTTTTAAAATCAAAATTGTTAAGATTTAGAGATACTGATATCCCTTCAACATTGATAAACAAATGTTTAAGATTATCTTTAGGACTTTATTTATACAAAATTAAGGCAATTCGTTTTTTCTCTATTGGATTTACCAAGTAATTTTTATACCCCCCACAACAAAGTAAATAAGTATAATGTTATTGACCCGTCAGTCCGTTTGTCCATCAGTCCTGTTCTTTTCATTGCAACTCCTCCGAAACCATACAACAGATCTTCATGAAACTTTGTAGATAATTAGAACATATTATGTAGATGTTCGTATCCACAAGAAGTTTTATCAGTTGACTTTTGTGGGAGTTATGAGTCTGTGAAGCATGCTCATAAAGGTTCTTTTATAGACATCATTTTCATACTGGTCTATTTTTTTTTAAACTTTGACCTAGCCTTGGAGAAACATTTTAAATTTGAAGAAAAATATAAAATAACACAGAAGTGTACTTTCTAGCTCTTCTAGCCCCAAGCGTCATGCCGGGTATTGTCATTACTTAAAACCATAAGTTATCTTCTAAGACACAATTTCGACATTTAAACAATATCTTTTACTACTGATACTGGGAAGATCCGTAACTAATTTACAGTTTTTTGTGGACAAAACCAAGTAAGAAATGACCACCACAAAGGAACATAAATAGAACCATACAAATAATGGTTCTCAGATACCATCTCCCATATTAAAATCATATCATGCAGAAATGCACCTAATGTGTAACTGTCCTAATTTTGAGTTTTTGCTACTATCCAAAATCAAAGTTTTGGAACATATTTTTCAGAATCATTTGGTAATCCATGCAATTAGTGTCTCCTCCATGACAGTCTTGAACAGTAAAACTAAATAATAAATAAACGACACTGCTAATTTTGAGTGTTTGGTACAGGTTGGCTGTCACTGTGCAATACAGTTTTACATAGAACCCTATTGGAAAACAGAGAACTATATTTGTAAGAAAACACTGTCAAACATTCAAACATACTATCCACACTGATCTGTGTCCACACTTGTACATTATACAATATATTACTTTACCTGTTGGAGTACAGGCGACACCAGCCCTACAATAGTAGATGTCAGATTTAATATTTACTGTAAACGATTTTATTGGGATTTTTTGCATTTTTATACATTTAAAGTTTTCAATTGTATGTTTTAATTTCATTTATTAGATATAAGAATATGTGGTATGAGTGCCAATGAGACAACTCTCCATCCAAGTCACAATTTGTAAAAGTAAACCATTATAGGTCATTTGTTTGTTTTCCACAACGAATTCGTTATTACTTAGCTATGAAATACAAGTGTATAAAATATTATTAATATATATGTATGCCAAAAAAAATCCCAATGAAACCATTACAAATAGAAATTAAACTCATGATGGATGCAGAGGTTTCTTTACAACGTACAATCTAAACGCCACTAGTGATATTAGGAACCACATGGTGCTGAAAAGTAAAATAAAACCATACTATTGCATAATTTGTAATTCAAATAATACATTCGTGAACATTAGAAGCACTGTCATATTTATTTCTAAAATGATGATAGAACGAAACGTGCAAAAGCCGTTGAGTACGACTAAAAAAACAACGCATGGTGCAAATTGATTTTTCGTTCACCGTGATCGATACAATATGTTGCTGAAGTATTAGCATGTAGTTATTCTATTAAATACATTTGTTGACTGCTAACGTGCAAGAATCTAGAAATGTACTCTGTTAGATAGTTATCTTATTGGCAATCATACTACATGTTCTTATTTTATATACATGCATGTTGTAAATACAAAATTAAACCCAGAACTCCATCAAGAAATGCAAGTCATATATCAAACTGTTGCTAAGCTGTGTTGTTTATTATGGAGTCTTGTGTGGTTTTATAGTTTCTTATTGGTGTAATCAACCTATGCCAACATTCGAAAAATATATATTTAACATATGCCTACAAACAACATACAATTTGGTGTTGTTAAAACAATTAATCATTAATTACAGGTAAAATACAGTCAGTATTTTAAACCGTTAAAATTACTCCGTTAGAATACGAAACAAGTTAAATATTTGCAAACTTATGTTGCAGTAAATATTAAATTTTAAAATACAATGTAATACACAATAATACACTTCTGTATGGTAAATTGCAACGTTTGGTTGTTCTAAACATGCTAAATATGAAATAAAAAAAACAATACAAGCATGAAAAAAAAAAATTAAAGTAAAGAAAAGGCCAAATATGTACTTTCTAGAATATATGATATTCGTAACAAGTAACATACTCATTTATCATACCATTTAAGCTATATGTATATGTACAGTAGTTTTATGTTATATATACATGTACCAAATTTCAATATTGAAGTACACAGTAATATTTTTCTTCTCTAAAAATTAACACGTTTCTTACAGTATGAATACAGAGATGTATACACATACATGTATATTTATAAATGTCTCTAGTATGATGTATTAGTGAACATTGCGAAATTGGTATACATATTTATGTTTATAAACAAAAATCCTTAATTTTCATATTTTATAATGTTATTTCCGAATACAAAAAAGATTAGCAAATTTTATACATAAATTTCAAAATGTTGGCATGGGTTGAATGAACCGTCTCATTGATGTGCATGCATATCCTACATTTATTTTCTCAACAATATTGGTAAACAATATGATGATTGCAATAGTCATATTGTTTTAGCAAAAAACATTCATTCAAAATTGTTCTAAGGTCGTTCTACACCACAATAAAAATCTTTAATTGTAAAATTCATTGATGAATTACCAAGCGATTAAAGACATTTCTTAAAATAAACAGATTATTATGATCAGGAAGTAGAAACACAAAAAAAGTGTATGGACATAAAAATGTCGTATTAAGACCGTTCCTATTTATGCAATGGATATATTTTAAAGCTCACATATAAACACACGTTTTTAAAAGAATATTTGATACGTATAGATTATTACATGGCATTTTTCATATCAGACCCTTTATTGGCCCTAGGTCATGATATCAGCCCAAGAGCCGCAGGCTCGAAGGCTGATATCATAAATAAATGATAAATATTTTATACAAGTATATGATAAAGGATTGTATAATCTTTAAACGTACAAATATTGATAAAATTCAGTATACGGTTTACTACTTGTTAATCAAAGTACGAAAGTTTAAGTTACGTATCGGTTTTAATATAACGATCTTATTAGCAAACTTTATGTTATGACTTTGTTTTCTCAAAAAAAAAAAAAAAATACCAAAAATATCAAACTCCAAGGAAAATTAAAACCGGAAAGTCCCTTATCAAATGGCAAAATCAAAAGCTCAAACACACCAAACGCATGGAAAACATCAGTCATACTCCCGACTTGGTACAGGCATTTCTTTGTGTAGAATATGGTGGATTAAACCTGGTTTCGTAGCTAACTAAACCTCTCACTAGTATGACAGTCGCAAAGAATTCCATTATATTGACAACCATGTATGAGCAAAACAAACAGACATAACAGGTAAAAATGTTAAAAGTTTTGGTACAGCAGTCAACATTTTGTTATAATCTTATTCACTATAACATGTATAAATACAAACAACTATGCAAACAAAGAAAAACAACATGGCATATAGACACTTTATAGACAAAGCACATAAGCAAAAATGAAAGAAAACAACAAAAAAAAGATGGCCATAGCACAATAACACAATGGCGGGATGTATAAATACCGAGCCATTATCAAATGAGTTAAACGGCTGTAAAGATATGATGAACTTCGTTCCGTCTTAAAGAAAACATCATTAAATTCTCCTTGACTAAGTATTTTCCTTAATAAAACAATTTGTTGCTACAAAAAACAAATTATAAAAAAAACGTATTTTAACCACTGAAAAGTATGACGTACTTACAGTTAGACTGCACTTCAGATTTTGGATTTTGACACAAGGAAACTATTTCTTTATTCCGTTTATCTTATCGTATGTTTCATAATTTTTAAAGAAGTCATACACAATTACACTTGTATCAATTGATGCATTATATTTAAAAAAAAAAAAAACTTCGGTAGTAAAGAAAGGAATGTGAGAAAAATGCGCATCGTTTATGATTTAAGGGACGTTAATTCAATGGTGTGTTCACGTTTCTCTTAACATTTAAGATTTTTGTATACAGGTAAACTACTTATTGTTGGAAAAACGTTATTATTATGTAACAAGGATAAAGGATTTTACCTGTAATTAGAGTTATAGTGAATCTAGTGTAAATCAAACAAATAATCGGACAGAAGAAAAATGTCAAGCTGATTTTAAGAACACATATAATCATTTTATCAAAAAGCACTGACATACACCACCATTGATTTACAACAAAAGAAAGAAGGAGTACGTAATATCATACCTATGTACTACACAGCTTACCCGAGCATTATCAAGTTTGAAGGTTTACTGTCTTATTGTAATACTGAACTATACAAAAAGCTATCCTTGTTCATCAGAAAAGTTAATGTATTTCTTTGATATATGTCATTTCGATCCATATGTGTTGTATATCTTTCTGCATAATCATTCACACTGTTTGTGTTATTTACATATATTGTATTATATATTTGACCTCATGTTACACGTTTAAATGTGTCTGAGTGTTTTCTAATAAATCGTTTTAAATCGTTAAAAATTAGGAGTCTACCAGAATGACAAACATTTGAAACCACTAATGACAAAATGCATGATAAAATCATGAAATTAAACAGAAATAAATATTCATAAAAACAAGATAGAATTATACTGAACAATTTAATATGCAATGGAATAGTTTTCTAAGAACATGCTCTGTAACAGTTTTATAAAATAAAAAAAAGTCAATGGTATTCATTAATACTTTCAGACAAGTATACATTTAAATATCGTTCGAAAAAGAAGAAATAAATCAAGGTAACAAACCAAAACCAAAGGAATAACTTTGTTATATTAAAACAAAATAAAGTTGTACCAAATTTTATATTGGAAACAGGAAAATTTGGATTATAAGTCTTTTGACTTTTATGTTAATATACATTTTGCATCTGTGCAATGGCTATTTTTTGGGGAACACAGTAACTGATAGATATTGGTGTACCGGTCTTCCAGGTGGATGGTGACGCGGAGTCATTAGGTCAAGTAGTGGTTCCAGTAAAACCGGTATCCTTCAATCCAAAACTCTGTCACGAAATCGGTAACAGTTTGTAATCGGGTACATTGTCAGCTTCGCTAGTGTCTTCCAGATTGAAGCCAGAAAAAAGCTAGCTTTGATTCAGAATACTGTTAACATTATATCAACTATAAAGTTACTGAACAGCTGGATTTATTTGTTAGACATTATTGTTTTATTCTATATTTGAATTTCAGAAAGAAATAATTACTCAATTTTAAAATACATAAGGTGAATAAATAAAAGAAACTGTAAATGGCTCTTGGTGGTACACCACTGTGCACGGTTACGGGACGGTTGAGCGCTCACAAACATGTTTAACCCCAACCATTCTTTATATGTCTCCACATGTGCATGTGGTTCAGTTGTTTTCGTTGGTTTATGTCTGTCACATTTGTTTTTCGGATTTGATTTTAACTTTGATAAGGCCGTTAGTTTTCTCGTTTGAATTGTTAAACATTTTTCATGTCGGGGCCTTTTATAGCCGACTATATGGTATGGGTTTCTCTCATTGTTGAAGGCCGAACGATTAACTATAATTGCTAACATCTACTTCATTGGAACTCGGATGGATAGTTATCATTCGCAATCATACCACACCTCCTTATTTTTATACTTATTGTGTATTTTTGAGTTTCCTTATTTTGCTATTTAAATCCAGGTAAAGAAGTATTAAAAAAACCTCTGTTTCTTAATAATTTCGTATCTATGATGAGTTTATTCATAATTTATTAAAGAAGAACTTTAGAAAAGAAATGTAATATATCATGTCAGTACTGATTCACTGACTACCGAACGCATGATAACCTCGGGGGTTAACAGTCCATCAGCAGATGTATCGACCCAGTGCTAGTAAATGAGACAAAAAAACAAATTATTTGATATGTGAGTTCAAAGCGCTTTTCTGGATTGACCTTGATTAGAAACGCTTAAACTTAAATATTTGAAAGCAAGGGATATATGCGAAAAAATGAAGATATGTCTGTAGTAGTTTATGCACGGGGGTCTCTTCCTATATAAAGGTATGATAAACAGACGTACCGCTGGTATTGGTAACTTTTTGGGAAAACTATGTTCTGATCTTTTCATCTCCTAATATGAATCACGGATCCCATGTGGTGAGCATCTCATTGAAATTAGATGTCATGATAGCTGGGAAATATATATAATGTGGTTGGGATTTTCTTATGAAACATATATGTGAGTAGGCATTAATCAATATATGAATGGGGGTGTTTTTTAAACCCCAACTCGACTTCTGTACCCAAATGTGTAGGTTGGGCCCCACCCCCTCCCCCTGGGGAGTTTATGTGAGCACTTCCGATGACTTGACAGCCAAAACAATGTCTTCATATTGTATAACAGAACTCGACCCTACATGTATCAAGCACCAAAGCAGTTCACGTGCATATCTCAATAGATACAATACGATCGTGCATGTTGTTCATACTATAGAGAATTCATTAGCAGGGGTATGCTCATCCCTTAAGAAAACATGTTCAAACAGAGTTACGAAGAAGATCGACCCCGATCGACACTTCATACATTTTACGGTAACCATCACGAGTTGGTTGGCCGTTGTGATATAACTGTTTCTCAAAACACTACCGACACTTTCTCTTACATCTTTAGATACCGGAATAGTCGTATCATTCATCATTTTACTGATTGTGTCCTGTTCTCGATTGTGACATTTTGACTGACTGTGGATTTGCCTGGTAGATGATTCATGCATAACAGGAGAAGTTTACTCTGTCGACTCGTCCGGCCCCGACACGTTTGGGATTCATACGATTCCCTCATTTTTGTTTGTTATCTTTATCTGTTTTCTTAATCGATTTATGACATACTTAGTTAGTTTTTTCTCAATTGAATTGTTTCATATTTTTCATTTTCGAAGCCTTTTATAGCCGACTATACGGTATTGGTTTTTATCATTTTTGAAGGCCATACAGTTGCCTATATTTGCTTACATCCAATTCATTTGAACTTTGGTGGATAGTTGTTTATTTGGCAATCATACCACATCTCCTTATTTTTTTTTATATTATATATTAACCCGTATATATGAATCCAAAATGAAAAAAAAAAAATAAACCTGTTTTACAACAGGTCTAACTAGTTTTTAAGATATGAATAGCATAACTATAACACAGAAAATCTCCCAAGTTCCAACGAAAAGAAATAAATTCAAATTCTCTCTCGCCAAGCTCGTCCGAATTTAAAGTATTTTTTTGTATTTCCAAAAATTGAGGCATATACATGCCATACATACCATATAATACAGGTAAGACCAAAAAAATCATAATTAGAAATACATTGTAGCTGGAAATATTTGACATATCAAAGCATTTCTTAACTAAAGTCCTTTTTGTAGAAATAATACAAACTAAAAAAAAAACAACAAAAAATATTTGGTTGTTCGCAGTAACTCGGCAAAATATAGGAGTAGATACAAACATGAGATTTCAAAATAGACGCCCTAAATGATCCCTATTATCAGTCAGAGGATTATCAAAGGACCCATGTGCTACCGGTATATCCAGCGATTGTTAACGGCAATCTTTAATATTGTGTTACGCTTCTGTTAAAATTCTGTAGTAGCAACACCAGTAGCTTTCTTGAAGATCGACCCTTAAAATGTTGAATAATGTTATTTGTCTGCTGCTCTAAAGCATTCCTAAAACGGTTGAAAAAAAAATAATCGTGTTCATCACATTCTACAGTATCCTAGAATAGTCGCATCTGTACTGCGTAAAAAAAAACAAACGATGAACTGTCTGTTACTTTGAGCACCTTCGATGAACCGACAATCCGAACCTTCAAACAGCCAAAGAACTTCAAGTACACATAGTACATATATATTTAAATCAAAACTGACATGAATCGATTTAAAACTGCTCTAACCTTTTCACGGCCGTCACTCGGCTAACCGAGATATTGGTCGGTTAATCTATATTGAGTATGCGGCTATATGGGCGGTTGGTCTGTTAATCGAGTCGGTTATACGTCTGTTAAGAGTAAAACGCACAATTAAATGTTAAACTCTGTTAAATATACAGATTGTTGGCATATTATAAGAACCAAATAAAAAAAAAAGAAAAGTGTCTGACAAAAGGCTATCTATGAAAGAACATTTTCCACCAGTAAAAACATTTCATAGCCTGCGCAGTTTTCAGTAAAACTAAAAGGCGTCGCGCAAGTATGTGGTATTTATGCTTATACGCATAGCAATTTTTTGGATAAAAGGCGATTTTTTTTAGATATCATTTAAAGGACACAAAATAGTACTTTGGTTCTAAAAAATAAATTGACATCAGTAATTATTTCATAATTTTAATATAACTTGAGTAATACCACATTTTAGTAAATATTACGGGAATAAAGTCTGTTAATGGGTTGGACAATTTAAATTGTGTCAGTTAAGAGTAATTAAGCCACGACAATAGTTTTGCTACCTTTATATTTTCCCATTGAAAAAGTTAAGAATGAGATGTACTTGTGTAGAAAAAATGACAAAACAGCGCAACAGTATCCTTTTAGCATTTTTATTTTGACTTTCTTTGCATTTTATTGAAGGGTGTGTCACTTCAATATAGCGTGATATGGATTGGCCGCTGGAATATGCATGAATTAATTATTTACGTTACCAATCAGCCTTATTTTGTGTGTCTGTTCAAAATCTGCAACATCTATGAGTCTGTCATGTGTTGCAATGCAGCTGGTTAAATTCCATGCGTTTTCCGATATGCATTGTCATTTTCTGTCTTAGGAAATGTCTGTACCAAGTAAGGAATATGACCGTTGTTTTCCATTCGTTAGTAAGACATGGTTCTAAACAATAAATTGACATTAGTAAGTTTTTATTCTATCTATATTTGTGTTGAGTTGGGTGCTGATTAACTTTAATTTGTAACAAAAAGAATAAAATTGAGAATGGAAATGGGGAATGTGTCAAAGAGACAACAACCCGACCACAG